GGGAGGACGAGCCGGGTGGCACCCCATGGCTCCAGGAGGCGCCCCCCGGTGGCCGCTGGAGGCAGGATGGGGCCCAGGCCGCCCTGGCTCTCCAGCGCCTCCTCCAGGAATCAGTCCCCCTGGCCTCCCTCCTGCAGCTGTGGGACCAGGCCAGGGGGGCCCCGTACCCCGATTACGATGAGACCGGGGCGGGTGCCCCGCCTAGGACCCGGGCCCCGGCCCCACCCCAGCTGAGCCGCTACCGGACGGACGGGGCCTATGAGAGCCACCAGGACGAGCCGGGGGATGAGGAGCCTGGGGAGATGGATGCGGAGATGCTGAGGTGCCTGGAGAAGGGCCGGGCCCCAGGCCCCATTTCCCGCCCCCCTGAGCCAGCCAGTCCCATCCCCCCCATGTGCCCCAGTAGGGGTCCGGGGTTCCCTCCCTGGCTCTGGGAGGGGAGCAGGGTCTAGTGGATCAGAGTGGGGGCAGGGCTGGGATCCCGGATGCCTGGGTTCTAGCTCCATTTTTCCTCTGGCTTGCAGGTACCTGGTGGGCCGGATACTCGCAGGGGGCGGCGAGACGCGACCCCCCCACCACCCCAGACGCCTGCGCCGAGGGCTGGAGGAAGAACCCCCCACCCTGCTGCGCGTGAAGCGGTTGGGGGGCGACGCGGAGGGCCCCGAGGCGGGGGCACCCCAGCTGCAGCGAGCCAAGAGGACAGAGGAGGAGGAGGAGGCTGTGGGGGGGCGGAGGGGGGCGTATGGGGGGGAGCCCCTGCTGAGGTACCTGCCTGAGTAACAGGGACCCCCCCCCAGGCCCAGTGAGCGCTAATGAGGCGGGGGAGGGGGCTTACGTCCCCCCCTGCCCCGCCCATCTCTGAATGTAGCCAGCTGTGGGTGCGGGGGAGGGGCTGCCTTGCTCCTAGCCCCCCAATCTCTGCCTCCCAATGACCCCTCCCTCCACAGGCCGGCTTATCACTGGGCCCCACGTCTCTCCCCCACAAGCCAACTGCCCCCCCATTGGGGTGACGGCTCGTCCCCGACATGCTTCAAGATCCCTATTTCCCCCCCGGGCTATGCCCCCCAATATCCCAGCTCTGAGCCCCCTATTGTCCCCAGGGCTCTGCCCCCCCAGCTCTGAACACCCATTTCCTCCACTACCCTATCTCTGCCTCCCCACCCCCCTGGTTCCCCCCGCTTCTATCAGTCCATTCAGTAACGGCTTCCCGCCCCCCTTGTCTGTCTGTCTGGTGTTGATTAATTAACTAATGAAATAAAGGCTCGTCAGGTATTTTGATGTAAAGGCCGAGTGGTGGTCTCCTTGTGTGTGCCTCTGCCCCCAGGCTAGGGGGCTCCGAGCTGAGGGGAGCAGGTTAGGGGGCTGGGCGGGGGTCGCTCTCCCCTGGCACTCAGGACTGGGCACTGGGGGGCGCTGTGCTGTGGGTCGGGGGGCTCAGTAGGGGGCGCTATCCCCTGGCACTCAGGACCGGGCACTGGGGGGCGCTGTGCTGTGGGTCGGAGGGCTCAGTAGGGGGCGCTATCCCCTGGCAGTC